ATTAATCTAACTGGTTGTCACATGTAATATCTTTACATCTTTTGTCTTTTCTTGAAATTATGAAAAGAGACTTGGAGAGACATCACAATCATACCAGGAGGTTCTTTTCAAGGTTTGTGTCCTCTAAATCTTTCCAACCGCTAACATTGTGTTTCGTGTTTTATACAATGGGTTGTTTTTTATTTTAAATTCCCAAACTCAGCCACAAATGTGGAAAATTATATCCCTTCAAAGTCAGCTCTTTAATGGTGATTTGCAGAAAGGCCTCCACACAACCTGAAATATTTGTCTGCATTTTGAATAAAGTCAAATTGAATGGTAGAAAAAAAGAGGTTTGTTTCATGCTTAAAGCAAAACTATGTAACTTCTGTTGGTAAGGCCGTGTGCTGAGTTGACCAATGGGGAGTTTTAGTACTTATGAATTTAACTTACTGTTTTGGAGAGGAAGAATGTGTTTTAACTTTCAAAAGTTGCATAGTCTCACTTTAAATCAGTCCCTTTGCTGGCTGCTGAGAGATCAGTGAGGATAACACTGGGAAAGAGGATCTGCACAACGGTCCCACTGTACAAGATTTCTTTAATGTGACTATGTTATCAAACAAGAGGGGACACTGAACCTGCGCATGTTGTCATATGATTTGTAATGTTTTTTTGTTGCTGAGGCCTCATCTCATCTAAACATTTATCCAAGTGATTTATCATTTTACATATTTTGGAGTCACAGTTGCAAAATTGATACAACGGCCCACATTCTCTGGACATAACATGTTCACGAGAGAGAGAGAGAAAACAAAGACCGATGAACAGTAAGAGTGGTAACTGTAAGACACAAACTCATGAAGTCACTTTGCTCACTCATACTTAATTGCCATCCGGATAAACTGTGATCTCATTGTGATGTGAAAGGTCGGTTGGTACAGAAAGCAAAAATATGCTTGTTTTTAATTAATGTTTTACATTTTTTTTCACTGCCCAAGATGTATTATCATCGTGTAGAAAAGGTTGATATGCCTGTGAACATTCTCCTCTCCTATTCCTTACTGCAAAGTGTACAGCTCACAAATGTAGCTCCTCTGTCTTGTACGTGTATTTGATATTATTATTATTTAAAGAAAATCTGGAGAGAATTATTGCAAAGAGTGAGATGGACTGATGATGCACCATCACAGCTGAACAAAGGTATTTTATTTAGTTTTTGTGTTAGATTGAAGCCATAATTGGGAGTACAAGAAGATGCATTTGTAAATTGGAACATGTTTTCTGTTTTGTGGCAGTATGTGGGACTCCATTTGTGATGTTAATTTTCTCTTTTTTAATCTTGTATTATGTTTTTGTAAATACACAGAGAAGTATTTCATGGGTTTTGAATATGCTAGTATAAAGCTTCTCTTCCCTTAGTCAAAGTGTCCGCTCTCTTCATTTGTGAGAACAGTTCAAGCTGCTGTCTGTGTTGTGGGGACTGCACACACTAGGATGACGCGGAAACAGTCCCCTTCCAACTCATCTTACAAAACTAGACTGATCAACTCAGTCTAGTATTTCTGTCATTGCTTCACATTACCAACTTCATAAATACAGTATTGTAATGTTGCTCTTGTAAACAGAGTTATCTCATTTTAGCAGGTGGGAATATGCTAGTAAATGCATATCGGTTTACGCAGGGATTTTAAGATTTGTGAATGTATATTGACAGTTTTTACAGTGGCTAATTAATTGGTCTTTTACCAAACTCATTATAGCATTGGAGCGCATGGAACTCACATTTGTTATCAAATCAACTAGTAGAAGTAGGTGTTGTATTAGTTGTACTAGTATTAGTAATAATTCTTACTATAGCAGTATCAGTTCTTGTATTAGCCTTAGTAGTAACCTTAGTAGACGTTTTTTAGTCGTAGAAGTCATAAAGAAATCCTACTTTAGTATGCAATAAAAATGCCTTCAAATGTAATGGTATACTATGTAATAAAAAAACGTAGTGAAAAAGTCATTGTATAGTATGCCATAAAAATGTCTTAGTATAGTGTGTCATTAGAAAAGTCATGAAAAATGTCATAAGAAAAATTTGTCATGAAAAAGTCATTAAATGGCATCATATTGTATGTCATAGAAATGTCCTAGTATAGTATGCCATATAAAAGTATAAAAAGTTGTAGATAGTCGTAGATAGTAAGCCAAAAGTTATACAAAATGGAATAGTGTAGTATGCCATGACCTTTTTTAAGTTAAAGTAAAGTTTAGTATTTCATACAAATATAGTATAGTATGTTATAATAGTAAAATAATAATAGTTTGGCATAAAATAGTCATAGTAAGGTAGTATATAGTATGCAAAGTAAATATACCAAATGAAGTAGTATAGTTTGTCATTAAACAAAGTATGTCATCAGAATGTCATAGTATAGTTTGTCATAATTTTTAAATAGTCTTTTGAAAATGTAATAGTAAATGGCAAATGGACTGTACTTGTATAACGCTTTTCTAGTCTTCCGACCACTCAAAGTGCTTTAACACTAGATGTCATCATTCACCCATTGATACCCATTCATATACTGATGGCAGAGCGCCACCTGACTAACTAACATTCATACAACATAGGCACAGCTACAGGAGCAACTTGGGGTTAAGTGTGTTGCCTCAGGACATTTCGAAATGGACTAGCGGACCCGGGGATCGAACCACCGATCCTGTGATTGAAGGACGACCCTGCTCTACCACTGAGTCAAAGTCAAATGTCACAGTATAGTATGCCATAGACAATAATAATATAGCATACCATAAAAAGCATGAAAATTCAGTCATAGCCAGAATGTCATAGAAATGCATGAAAAAATGTCATCGTACAGTCTGCAAAGGAAAAAACAATAAAGCATGCCATCAAATATATATATATATATGTATATTATCTATCAAATATAAATATAGAAATATAGTTTGTTAAAAAAATGATACAATGTTAGTATAGTAACTCAAAAAGAATAGCATGACAACATGACATTTTAATAGTATGGTATTTCAAAAAAGTCATATTATAGTATGTAGAAAAATGTGACGGTATAGTTTTTCTAAAAAAAGTTTAAAAAAGTTAATATAATGAGTCAAAAATTCTCATAATGTAGTATAATGAAAAAAAATCATGAAAAAGTCATCTTACAAAATGCTGAAAAAACTCATGGTTTAGTATGTCAACGAAAATCATTAAAAACGTTATCGTATAGTATTTAAAAAAGTCATAGTATAGTAGGTTGATAAAAGTAAAAAAGTCAGTGATTTGTATGTTGAAAAAAGTCATTGTATAGTAAAGCAAAAAAAGCATTCAAGAAAAGTAAAAAATAAAGTTATGGAATAGCCTGAGGAGATGAGGCTCGCAGAATCAGCGATCTCTTTTTAATCACTTCTTAAAACCTGTTTTTACAGACTGGCTTTTATGTAATGTCGTCACTTTACTGCTTTATTTTATTTATTGATTTTATTAAATTATTTTACTAACTTTTATTTATTTATTTATTTATTTATCAATTGTTTTTTGTTTTTTTTCCTTTCATCTACTGTAATGTTTTATCCGGGTTTAACTCTTTGTGGTGCTTTGTTTGGCCTCAAGCACTTTGTAAACTCTGTTTTTGAAGGTGCTATATAAATAAAATTATTATTATAATTATTATTATTATCCTTTGTGTACTTCAATAGTATTGTAAGGTGTGCACCCAGGGAGTCTGAGCAATTTAAACATTGCATTTACCCTTTGGTCTCTTCAAAGACGCATTTGAACTATTTATTACACAATCCCTCTGTTTACTGTCGTTCACTCCCCAAAATTGTCTCATCCCACGCACACCCCCACAGCCCAATGTATATTTAACTTCCTCTCTGCTAGTCTTCGGGGTGGCCTTCCTGCAGGAAAACAGTTGTTCTTTTTCTGCTGTGGTGTCCAGTTGGCTGTGATTTTGACGTCTAATCATGTCTGTTAAGTTTGGTTTAGCTTTGCTGGCTCTCTCCTATCTGACTGCAGCATCCGATCCAGACTGTGAAGAGCTGCTTACACCTCTGGAGGATCGAAACCAGGCATGTTCCCCTCAGCATTTACATCCAGCAGATTCAAGTTTTCTTTGCTTTAAAAGACCACACTGGTGGTTTTGCATGATAACCTCACCTAATTATAACTTGTTATTGTTGTTTCCTTTTTTTGGTGATGTGTTCATGAACATCTGGGGTTTGAGAGCTCCAAAATCTCTTAATTAAGAGTTCTTCTTTGAGTACAAATTTGTTTCTGCACATCTGTGTCTAGGTTGCTGGAAAATGGATATTCCATGTCGGAACATCAGACAACGAAGAGTACCGGAAGGAGCTTAGAACTCTGAACAGCTCATGGATCGAAATCTCACCCATACCTGATAGCGATGATATGACCCTTCGCTGGGGAGACAGAATGTAACTGTTGATCATCTTTTGAAAATGAATGTTAATATTTTTAAGGCAATCAATGCAGAAGGTATAGCTGGTGAGACTTACTCCAGTTTTAAATCTTCATTACGTTTACCTCTCCTTACTAGGGATGGAAAATGTCATACTGGAGGCATTAACTCCACCTTCACTGGAAACTCCACCAAGGTGACATGTAAGTAAATGATGAAACCTATTATCATATGTGCTTTAATCCACAGTTAAAATACGTAACAATGTTTTAATCGTGTGTTTATGTCTAACAGTTCACTTTAACACCTCTGATCATGAGCATATTGGGAAGCACCTGGTGGCCTGCCCTGGCTGCATGCTCTGGACAGACACGATGATTAAAGCGGGAGGCAGTGATGGCAGAAACCTCTACCTCTTCAGTGAGTTCACAGCTGTCTGTAACTGTCAGCTTTTCTGTAAAAACTCATTTACATCTCAAATTTTCAAATTTGTAAACATTAACCCTCCCCCCCCCCACACTCCCACTGCCCTGCAGCAAGGACTGGGAAATTGGATGACCCTTATCTGGAAGTTTTCAAGAAACAGGCTGCGTGCCTCAACTTCCCATCAGAGTTCCACTTTACAGGAACCACAAGTGAGATGCTGATTCACAACTAAACGGACAACACTAAGGAGTACTGTACGTATAACTTATTCAGGCACTTATCAAATTGATTCCCTTCTTCTGTTTCAGACATGTGTCCTGACGAGAAGGCGGCTGCCACGGATGTAAAGGAGGAAGAACAATAGAGAACGGAAGTTACTCTACGAGCCAAATTTAATTCAAGTATGCTCTCTTAGATGTGTGTAAACTCCCACTACCACTTGTGTGTATCACAGATGTCTTGACAGATGTGAAGGGAACACATGTTTTCCATTCTGCAGGGGGAGTCAATGTGAGACAAGAGAGAAAGAGCTTTTTTAAGTTTGTCGCTGCCTGAAAGCAAATAGCTACCGAGCTTGTTGAAGTTAATAATCATGCTAGATTGCCGTGTTAAAGAGAACTGAATACACTAATTCCACACCAAATGTCAGAATCATAAATCATGATGGATACCACTTGAATGCCTTTTTCTTTCATGGATATAAAGCTCAATAAAAACAAAACATGTTTGCATATGAAAGAGAGATTCTGTTATTTTTAAAGAAGATATCAATAAGGGCACAAGTCCATTGATAGTTGACCAACGTGTTGGTCAATTCCAAAGAAGGACAAAGGTACAACTCAGTCTGCCACGCAACATTGCGAACACATATTACATAATATGAGATCGGGGATACAAGCGGCCGAAATAAGCTTCCTTCGTAGGGTGGCTGGTCTCAGCCTCAGAGTGACGAAGGGTACAAGACAGCTCCAGCTAGAGAGGGAGCCTCCTTGCCCATACATGCATACTTCCATAGGTGAGACATGTAGACATAGTACCAAAGTTACACAAAGGTATAAAAGGTAAAGACTACATGTAATTGTAAAAATACACCTCTCGGTGCTTCTATCTGTTTGTACTTTCTGGCTCTTGGCATTAATGGCCAACACTGCTCGCCTCCAGTGAGAGCTTTTATGACTCAAAGAAGTTGTTATAGACTGTAAATAAAATGCTTGTTATGGGAGTCAAAGATGGAAGTACTAAGCAGGGCTGTGGACAGGCTGACTGCCTCATTAATGCAACTCTTGTTCTACCTCAACACTAGTCTTTTCTTGTTGGAGAGCCCCTTGAAGGACGGAAAGCAACATGTTTACATGGCTGTGAGAAACGTTTGCAGTGCTTTTTCCCAAGAGGAAGCGATAGATGGTAATACCATAATGGAATATACAGTACTGCATGTATGTGTTACATAACCTCCCCTCACTGTATCTTTGAAGGTTTAACGCAGATCTTTACCAAAGAGCCAAAGTATACCCACATACCCAACTCCTAGAACACATTCCACATTGTTCGACAGAACCGTCCCTGTTTTACAGATCAAACCGTCTAGATATGTGGCCATGAATTGTAATTGGTGATTTATTACCCAATATTCACGACGGCATTTTGCAGACAAACACTAAACAGTTCAAAGGTTTTTCAGATGGAGCTGTCCAGCTGATCAACATCTGGTAAGTAGTGTGCTTGCCAAGCACAATATTATACAAGTGAAATGTTCCTGAATGTCTCTAGTGTTTCACAGGAAGCACATTAAGTATTTTCTTAAACTGTGACTTAACACATGACGTTTTTTTTATCACTATTAGTAATGATTCCTTCAATCTACAAAAAAAGGAGAACATCTTATGTAAGCTCTCACATTCCCAGAGGAAACAAAAGCTATTTGACGTCAATGACCATCTTGTGTGTGTTCAACGACTTATTAAACAAAGGTATAGTTCTAGAAGGTATTTGTAACGTTTTCAACATTTCAACATTCAACAACAAGTGTGTCTGTGTGTGTGTGAGAGAGTGTGTGTGTGTGCTTGTGTGTGTGTCTTTCTTTTTATTATTTCTGTCTTTGTGCCTGTGTGTGACTCTGTGCTGGGGGGTGTTCACACATTGAAAGATGCAGGGGTCTTGCTATTCAGACTCTGCCAGCTGGCTGTTATGCAACGGGATAACTAGGTCAAGCCCTTGCTGACTTGATGTGAAAAATGATGGTGTGTGTGTGTGTGTGTGTGTGTGTGTCTGTGTGTGTGGGGGGCCCAGCCCACTGTTTCAGGACACTTCCCCTGGTTGTTTTGAGGAGGCTCTAGCTGGCAGGATCCCTGACATTAGTGCTCCTCTCTGGCTGCCTGCTGTCTCGAGTCATGGATGCACAGCTGGTTATAGCGCTGCTGGCTCTCACCTCCCTGGGTGCTGCATCTGAACCGGACTGCAAAGAGCTGGTTAAGCCTCTGGTACTGGACAGCCACAGCCCTGTGAGTATCAGCAATAATTTGTTATGAGCTGAGGTCATATGTGAGGAGGCTTTGTAGCACAGGACTGTGTGTTAACATAACTTGAATAGCTTTTGTGTTGGTGTAAAGATTAAAATGTGCTACATGGTGTTTAAAATGAACTAAGGCTCTTAACACAATTGGTCATTCATTGTATCACTCTTAAGCATAGAAGTACTTGTGCACAAGCCAATCTGTTTTATATATTATCTTTGTTTATCGTTTTACATTAGTAAAGCTCAAGTATATCCAATGTCTCGTGCATATTGATATGTCTTGTTTATCAAGGCTATGTAGCTCTCAACAGAAAAAGAACTGTGTCATGATGTGCCTTAAGCAAAGAACTTTAGATGTTTAGTAGAAATTTCCATTTTTAATTAAATTGCAATTCTTAGCAGATAAACGAAAGTCTTTTATCCAAGGAAATAAACCAATATGAAGTCATTTCTAAAACAATCTATCCACAAGGTCCAGTAAGTTGTTTATGAGATTTTGATCATATTGCAAACAAACCCGCACATCCAGTTGCCAAGGGAGTAAACTTTCAATCTCAACAATATGACGCCCTCTAGAAATAAACTGGCAAAATAAAGGAATGATATCTCTCTCTCTCTTCAAAAACTTTTTTTCTCTTTACACTCATGTGAGTGAGTTGTGTGGATGTCTTGTCTCTGTGTTTGTGTCAGATCTACGGGAAGTGGGTGCTCCATGTGGGGTCGTGGGACCAGCCCGGCCTGAAGAACGACCTGGAGACGGTGAACAGCTCCTGGGTGGAACTGTCGGCTTCCTCAGACAGCGGAGTCATGTCCATCTACTGGTCCGACCGCCTGTAAGGACACTGCAGACATATTGTCATGTTCCATTTTCACTCACATACAAATGGCAATGGCTAGGAGTGTATATTCAAAGGTATAGATGTGGATTGTTGCTCCTTTATCTTGTTTTGTTTTTACTATTACAGAAATGACGATAAATGCCTGCAGGGGTTAGCCAATGCCACCATCTCAGAGATGACCAGTCACACCACTTGTAACTATCTCTATCGATATCTTTCTGTTACACCCTGACTCATCACTGCTCTTTCTATGCCGTGTAAGTGTATGCGGGTGATGCAGCCTTGTTTTTCTAATGTGTCACAGTTAATATCAATGGTCACACTTCATATCATGATGGGAAATACTATGAGACCTGCTCCGACTGCCTCCTGTCCGAAGACACCACCCACCTCCCCGACGGCAAGGCAAAGGGACGATACCTTTTCCTCTTTAGTAAGGCAATCTTTCCCCCTCAAAAGAACTTGATAAAAAATATTTATGTGAAAATATTTTGGTCATTTGTTTCTTATTTCTGTCCTCTTTCCCCTGGCTTCTCTTTATTCCCCCCACCTCACCCTCCCTGTTTTATTCCCCTGGCTTCTCTTTATTCCCCCCACCTCACCCTCCCTGTTTTATTCCTCCGGCTTCTCTTTTAAAGCACGTAACGGCACTTTGGAGCCATCCGAGTTAGAAACCTTCAAGAAGCAGGCCGAGTGCCTTAAATTCCTCCCAGAGTACCACTTTGGAGGAACAGGTCAGCTGTCAATTGTGCTCTGTATTTCATACCAAATAAAATCATCAAAGCACATTATCTTCATGCCCCCTTCTTTCCCAATCAATGATGTGCTCCTATTTCAGATCTGTGTCCAGATGACAGGGCCCCTGCTTCACCTGCTGCCGAGAAGACAGAGAATAATAAAACCGATGTTGCGCCTGCTGCAAAGTAAAGCAGAGCAAAGAGATGTCTTAGCCCTTTGAACAGCATGCACCCACCCAAACGCATCCAGTTGAACATTACCTAATAGTGTTGTAATGTGAACTGCATGCGCTGTGGAGTATCTTTTCATTAGTCCTGTTACAGCTGGTTTCAGCAGCAGCAATGAGTTCAAGGCCTGTTGGCATAATGTCATGTTAGATCTGTGGCTATGTGTAGTCTAATGACTGTGTCTCTGCATGCTATGCTGTTTGACCGGTCATAATTTAGTTTAAGAAATGTGATATATGAATAGTTTAAGCAGATTCTGGCAGAAACGGTAATGACGGAAAAATCCACTTAAATGCCTCGTTCAAATCAATTTAACAAATCTGTGAATAGTAACTATTATAGTAACTATAACTATTTCCAACTGGTTGTGTGAAGTAAATAAAACAGCTTTCCGTCTCCCTCTGTGTTGTGTTCTAGTCATTTATTTCTACCGTTATTCAGGAAAAGTCTTTGGTTTCTGAGCTCCATTATTTCTTTGATGGTTTCCAAATACATTAGAAGATGCCTGACACACTATTAATCCATAGAATCAAGAATAAACGCTCCAACAGAACTTCTACACCTCTTCCCAAATGCACCACCATTCCCAGAAACTTCAACAAAGACTGTTGCTGGGTAACGTCTCTGGTAGGGGGAGAAAGACGACGTCAAACTTTTTTAAACTGTCGCCACAAGGAGTCCACTCAGACCCACAGAGAAATAACCTTCATTCAACTGAAGAAAAGCCGCCTCGGGGCCTTTTTAAATGTCTCAGCAGTCAGAGACAAGCCTTGGCACTTTGCCTGAGTTCATTCAGGGGCAACGCTACAGGCAACAGAGGACTGTTGAGCTGGCCATTCAACACTGCACTAAAGAAATCTGCATGGTAGTTACCTTTACTGGAAACCCCCTCCTCCCCATTATTAGCACTTGCACAATTACTTTTTTTTTGTTTGAAAACCGAGAGGGAAAATGAAACAGCGTTAGAGGTTTTCTGTTGCAGCTTCAGCGACATCCTCTGCAGTGCTGCCGACTCTCCCTCTTTGCATCTCATCCTCCTCTCTGTCTGATCATGGCTCTGCCTGCTGCTGTGTTTCTGTTGGCTCTCACTTCCCTCAGTGCTGCATCTGCACCCGACTGTAAGGACCTGGTCAGACCTTTTATACCAGACGACCCCAAACTGGTAGGTTTTCTCCATCTTATTTATCCCAAAGATATGTGATTTTATGTTAAAAGCATATCTCCAATAAGTACACATTTTTAATATAGTTATTATGCATCTTGACTTTTTATGTAAAGGTTTTTGGAAAATGGGTGTATGTGATGGGAGCTGGTGACCCCAAGCCCTACCACAAGGCACTGGAGTCTCTGAAAAGCTCCTGGATAGACTTGTCTCCCACTTCTGACAGTCAAGTTGTGACGTTACGTTGGGGAGATAACTGCTTGTAAGTTTGGTGATTTAGTTCATTAAATATGTTGGGCAGAATCATCCTTAAATATTGTTTCTAGCACAATATTCTAATGGTTAGCCTTTTCAAACAGCATCTTAAATTTGTAGCTTGTAAAAACAAAATTCTGTCACTGCATGTTCTTGTTTCTCAGCGATCGGTGTATCTCTGGCGGGGTAAATGCAACAGTCTCGGGCATTGCCACCACATTTCGTAGTAAGTAACATATGAGATGAAGCAGCTTATTTCTATAGCATGCTATCATCAGGATTTATATGAGCATAGTATATCCACCACAGCTAACTCCATACAAATAATGTTACAGAATAGTAAGTCGCTCTGTTTTCCCCTTTGAAAGAAAATCTTTCAGACCACAAAGGACATATTCTACAGACTTGCTCTGACTGCCTGCTGTGGACAGACACCTTTCGAAATGGGGACACCACCGGTCGATACATCCTGCAGTTCAGTAAGTTCCTCATTGGTTTAAACACAGTTGGTCAGAGTTTCAAATGTGGCAACTCCTTTTAAAATCTCTCCTTTCTACCAGCGAGAACTGGAAAAAAAGATCCCGAAGATGTTGAGATTTTCCGGAAACAAGTCGGGTGTCTGAGCTTCCCAGAGAACTTCCACAGCTACGATGGTAAAACAGGTCAGTGAGTCTTCAGTAAACTTTAATGACTGTCGCTAAAAACAAAACTGTGCTTAACTGGACACTGCAACTCACACACAACTTGCCACAAGATGGAGATGTTTTACTGTAAAATGCAAAATTGAGATACGATTACACAGTTTTTTTTGTTCAGCAAACTTGAAGTGCATGAAGTACAATGCACATGGTGAGGAAATGGAAATGCTGCCAATATTTTCCATGATGCTGAGGAAATGTTTGCCATCTTCTCTTAAAGTTTTTGTTTTTATGTTTTGTTTCAGAGCTCTGCCCCGATGACAAAGAGAGTACAAAGTGAGCAGCAATACAAAAAGATGGAGATACAGCAACATAAGTATTAAGCAAAATATGTATAATGTAGTTTTGTATTAGGATTGAATTATATATATATGTTATGAATGCCAGTGCAGTTCAATTGATTACTTATTTTACATATACACATGTATACTTATCAAAACCTATAGCAGATTTTTGTCGAACAATAATGCAGCTACTACATAACTTGTAATGTCTTTCAGATTAAAACTCTATTATTATTAACTGTGTATATCCTATGATTCACTGAAAACAAGAATATGAAACAAAAATATGAAAAGAATGGCAGAACATGTTGTGATATGCTCTCTGTGAAATGAAACAAACATATCAAACACTGTCATACCGGTGGATATATTTTGTGATGGCAAAAGAACAAAAAGCTAATTGGTTATCCAATAAGCTAATTTAAGTGGACATATGTCCAGCACTACCAGGCACTGGACACACTCTTGTCATCCAACCCAAGCATTTAGATTGTTTACATACATGGACTCTGATATATTATACTGTAAGTACAGGTTTGAAAAGTGTCTTAGAAGCAAGCATCCCATGGAGTTAAGCCACCAGCCTGCTGTAATGGCTCCCCAGGCCAGTTTGAATGCTCTCCATCTTGCATGACCTGCTGCTGTCTCTCCGCTCGCTGGTGCTTGTACTCTGTGTTCCTGAGATGCTCTTCGCTTGTGCCAGTCGCCGACATCCGAGCAGCGCTGCCACCTGCTTCTGGCACTGAGAGGAGGCAAAGTAATACAGGACTGGATCCAAGCAGCAGCTGAGGCTTCCTACACACATAGAGAGCAGGTAGGCTTGGTAGGAGCTGTCACTGGACTTGTGGGACAGCTGAACGTAGTGAACCATCAGGATGATGTTGGTGGGGGTGAAGCAGACCACAAACACCACCAGCACGACCGCAGCCATCACCATGGCTCGAGTCTTCCTGAAGCGGTTCTCCACATTGGCTGCTGCCAGAGCCTGAATAATACGGACATAACAAACGGCAGTGAAGATGAGAGGGATGAAGAAGAAGACGGATGAGTAGATGGGGAAGAAGTAAAGATAGTAAGCTTGTAGTTTTTCCACATCCTGCACATCATGGCAGGTGGTGATGCCCAAGTCTGACAAATACATGGTTTGCCCAGAGATGAGGAGAGGGGATACTCCCCCGAGGGCCAACAGCCACATGCCAGCGCACACGGCTGAAGCTGTCTGAGGGCTGCGCCACGTCAGCGAGTTCATGGGGTAAACCACCGCCAGGAAACGGTCAATGCTGATACACGTCATGAGCAGGACTGAGCAATACATGTTGCAGTAGAAAGCTGCTGTGACAACTCTGCACATGAAGGAGCCGTAGATCCAGTTGTTGCCATGATAATGGTAGGCGATCTTGAAGGGAAGGAGCAGGCCGAACAGCAGGTCAGCACATGCCAGGTTCAGCATGTAAATCACCGCCGGTTTCCTGGGACGGACGTGATGCATGAACATCACCACGGCTACAAGGTTGAGGGGCACACTGACGACGAAGACGAGGGTGTAAATGGTGGGAACAAACCTCGTTGCCAGGCGACCCTGGAGGAAACCTTTAGTTTCCTCCGAGACAACATAGTGCTTCTTGGGGTGGCGGTGGGGACTGTGTCTTTTCACCGGCTCCTGCTCCGACCCGGAGCCAGACCCCTCGTCATCCCTCAAACTGTCCAACACGGACTGGTCAATGTATTCATCTGTGACTGTTTCAAAGTGACCAGCGAACGTCCGTGGGAAGAGCGCTGAGCCTTAGAAGAGACACAAGGAAACGGAGCAGAATCAGAAGTGTTCATGTGACACATTCTTTGCACAATAGTCCATTCTGACTGAAGTGCAAATGGAATATTATAATAAACAGCACTGTTACCCACACTTTTTAAAGGGTTAAGTTACCACTAGAGATAAGTGCAAGTGAAAATTGGGTATCTATGCAGATTAGTTTTTTTTTGTATGTCTTTGAATGTGAAAGGTCTGTTACTCTGGATAATCTACAGTACAGACAGTTTATGTTTTGCATTTGTAGATAAATCCAGAAATAAGAGAAACTGTTGTTTTTATAATTTGGGTAACACGTCTCTTGACAAGAATATTTTCATAACTTCTGACTTTTCACAAATACATGATGCAGCACTACGCATCTTTAACGTGATAGAGTTCAAATGAGTTCAGTATTAACCATCTCATTTTAAGAGAGAGATGCTCAAAAGATCCTTGAGTGACCCGTTCATAATTTTCCACGACCAGTGATATTGGAAGAACTATTTAAATAATGTCCTTAAGTGAAAAATGTAAAACCGCATTGTAAAAATACTTTTACTACTAAAGCCCTGCCCAAAAATATTTGGTCTACTTGTGAAACTATATAAAGTATTATCAGCAACAGTAACCTAACCATCAACAAAAATGTAATGGAGTACTTGAGAAAGTATAGGCCTATTGAGTTATTTTCCACCACTGTCCACGGCCTGCTGTGTCGACTACCAGACTCACCAAATTACAAATTATTCGACGATAGTTCTAAAAAATAAAAATCATGTTTTAGGGTTCTCCGGCACATTCTTGCAGTCTCTGTCACTAATCTGTTCAGGCATGTTGGAAACGTGAACGCAATGTCATTCCTGCGTAAACAGCATTTCCGATACTCGTGGCCACTGTAATTACTGCAGATATATATATGACTTATGAAATTATGGGCGACAGTGTCATTCAGACGAAGTTTAAACAAGTTGCCACATTTACTTTCAATTAGAGGGGTGGTACAAATATACTAGCCTAAATGTCAACAGGTAATTTGTAAAACCCAGCAGAGTACAAGCCTGCAGTCATACACGATCATACAATAATCAGTTATGAACTATCATAGAGTTTTAAATAGTTTATGGTTTAGAAAGCTGCTTACCATTTTGGGAGGAGAGTGCTGATCTCTGGAGGGAAAACAATACCAACAACGCTATCGCCAGGTGAACCATGGCTTCACTGTATGTCCTCCAGGAATCTAACACCTGCAAGTGGGATGAAATGATCCGTTCGTCTGACGAGTTACTGAAGTGTTTTTCTGCCAGCATCCAACATGTTATTGCAGAGTGGATGATACTCCGCCTCCCCTCACCGCACATCTCCTCCCCACTACACTGAAACAATGTGTACCAGTTCTTCAGATGAAAATATTTGTCTTCAAAGAAGTGGAAGGCTGGCAGATATTACAACTGAGAAAGAGATAATAATACTGATAATATGTCTGACACACAAGAAACAAATAACTGTAGACATGTGGAATTTATTATGCACATTGTTTAAACATTATAAATCACTTATATACTGAAAATACATCAGTTGTAGCTTTTAAAATGTTTAGATGTTTTGTTGATTAAAGCATGTTTCCCAATTAAAAGGCACCGGTAAACTACAGCATTTCATATAGCCATGCAGGCTGGAAAGTTGCTCCCGAGCTCTATTTGTGAACTAATAGACAGTTGGTTCAACGTACAAGGTAACACTTACAGTGGGTTTCCTAGCTTTTACATACAAAACATTATTATTATTTTAATTTCATTCTTAAAAATACACATTTACAATTACCACATGGAAAAATACAACGTGGAAACCTTTAGATGAACAACATTTAATTGATGTGTGATCCATGAAATTATAATTAAAGGAAACAACGCTGTCCTGCACCATCTGATGTTTGCTGACTAAATGCAATTTTGTTTAACAAACTCAGTACTGTCAGAAGGCACAATCTCGTTCCACTCCCTCTCCTGTTGCTTTCTCCCACTTGTTCTTCACTTCCTCACTTTCCATAGAATTTTTTGTTGAGGAGGAAGATGAGTAAATTGACGTTGACTTTGGCTTTGTCAAACATCTTCATGACGGACACGCCTTCATACTGCAGCTGAAGGAGGTCCTGGACACAAAACACAAATAGATGCAATCAGAAACAAACGCACAAAAAGCTTTTCAACTTTTCATTCATTGAGACGAGGTGCTAATTTGGCAGATTTGTACATGTTGGTAGATTAGATAATTGTAATACTGTCCTTTAAAAGACATTTTCAGTAACTGTTTTACAAACACTTTGTGGCCCTGACTTTACAGCCTGGTCTACTCCATACACACCTTTATTCATAAACTATATATAACTAATGTTTGTTCATACTCGATACAAAAATACATACAGAGAATGAATTACAACAAATGTGTCCACTGCTGGAGTCTACATCGGGAAATGTTTGCTTTGTTTCTGTGATATTTCCTGCTAGGAGTCTGATGAGTGGACATTTAACCATCTGTCATCAAGGTTTAGTGTTGACCAGCGAGCTGCTTTATTTCATGAATTTCTGACGCACTTGGGAAATGTTTACCTGGAAATGAAGCTGGACTTTTTCCATCTCAACTCCCATTAACTTTGCCTTCACCTCAAAATCCCCAACTTCCTCAGTGGGCGAAATGTCAAACATGACATTTTTGAACCTGAAAGAAGAGAAAGAGGCAATAACATGAGATTAAGGAAAAAGAGTGACACAGCACAAAACCACAATCATTTAACATTATTGTTGTCCTATTATTGCAGTAATACAAATTTATAGTAGTACGAGAAGGAACTGTTCATAGAACTCAAATCAACAATTGCTTGGCTGGACTTCAAATGTCTGTTTGTAGTAAATCATTTTAAAATAATTTACATTTTAGTCCCTTTCTTTTTACATGATGCGTTATAATTTTATTCATATCTATTCATAAAATCTTTAGCCTTGCTTGCTTGCACTGGCTAGAAAATGGCTTTGCCTTACGTGTGATATGGTATGTACTTTCTTGTTTGATAGATTTTTTTGAGCTAAGTTGAAAGGTAATGCACTGTAATTTGAAGCAATGATGGAGGCGGGTAGGTTGGTTGGGTCAGTGATAGATTTGATCATCTACACTGTAATCAAAGAGTCTCTCTATGTCACAGCCTAGCAACAGAAACGTCACTATAGGTGGAGTAAATGTTAGTAATGTAACCCAAAGTGATGCACAGCTCAACTCACTGGTTCGTCTGAAGTCCTTCTATTTCCAGGATCACTCCTTTCTCGTGCAGCCTTGCTGCAGTGTACTTCAGAGACTGTGGCTTCCACTTCTTACTGCCCTTATTCTCACCTTTGCTGTCCAGTTTTATAGATCTGCGTGAATTCCTGGACCAACAAAAGACAGTACACACATCAGTAAAAAATCACAAGAAATCTCGTCGCATACATCAAACCAGCCACAAAGGAAGCAGGATTATTATTTATTATAAAACTCTTCATCCACAAAAGGTTTAAGCAAAGTAAAAAGGTACAACTCACTTCCGATTCAGGTTGTCCAGGCAGGTCTTGATGTACGTATCGTAATAGTTCATCTGGTCCTGGTAGAAGGCTGTTTTTGAGTTGAGTGCCGTCAGTGTCTGCTGGAGCTTCACGAGCTCGGCCTTCCTTCTCTGTCTGTAGCGTCTTTGGTAGCGGATGTCCTGTCAATGCACTTAACAATCTCAGAAGCTGAACAGGCCCAACAACACATGTAGCATTGGAGGCAGGCATCATCCTATGTGAATGAAGAGCTGCTTATGTACCTTCGATATGTCGTTGACGAGGTCCTGGTATTTGTTACTGACGGTGAGAACGCCAGCCTGCTCCAGGGTCCGGAGGTTCCTCAGGATCTTCCTCTTCTTCTGCTCAATAGGCAGCTGGCTGTCCTCCAGTACTGCTGGGCTGCTCTTCAGACCTTCTGGTGTCAGAGCGTCCTGGACTGCCCGGCGCTCGACAATCTTAGTATGCTCCGACTCCTTCAAGAGCAAAGTAGTATAAGAAGTGCATAAAGCTGTTAGAACTTAACACAAACATCAGTGCATGTACTCATTTCACAAGAAATGGCTGTTGGGTAAACGGTATGGGTAACGAAAAACAAGATGGAAGAAAACATCACCTGTGAGACAGTAGCCGGGGTCTCAAGAATTGCAGGTAAGGTCTCTCCATGTTGAATCCGAACCACATCCACTATAAGCTTTTTTGTCCTGATACACACACACACACACACACACACACACAGAGAATAAGAAAATCATGAAGAGCTCGACGGGTTTATTTCATTTCAGTTGTACGTAATGTCACCTAAACCAAACAATGAAGCTGTTGTCATCTGATGGCAGAAACAACTATATTTCACTGACTTGACTTCAGAAAACCTGTTGGGGAAAGGGTTGTTCATATCCAGACATGCAACATGTCTGATGCCACAAACTGCAGGAGTTTTCACGGCAGAATTGAACCGTCATTCCCCGTGAACCGTCACGCCAAAGAGGAAGAAAGAGACCAACTCTTTGTGTTTCCAAACGGATACATGTTTATAGGAAAGATAACCCTGACCACCACACCTCTTCCTCTTTGACAGGAAACGATAGAGAAGCAGGAAAGACAACAAAGACACGCTACTGAGTGATAGCCACAAAGAAACACACGCTGTGTCAAGAAGAGTTGAGTACAGTGCATCACAAGACAGCCTTACTAATCCCAAACTCTGTGTTGAGGACTGAGTGTGATTCAGGGTAATGGTTTTAAATATACGTCATAATCTGGATCATGGCACCTGATTCTTATAGATTATCATAACATAAGAATTCAGATGATTGCAACATCAAATTGCACTTTTGGACAAACTTATCCACAGGCTTTGAATGAAGCAGTTTGTCTCGGCATCCTCTCACAATAAACGTACTTTGTCATGAGAGTCTTCAAGTCTTTGTCGTCTCCGTCCAGCAGCTCGTTCTTGCTGGTTAGGGTGAGGGAGATCTCGGTCTTTGCCAACTGGCTCAGAGCGCTCTCTCTGCTCGGGTCATTTGGGTCTACCGCTCCTTCACCTGAAATAGAACACAACGTGTAAAACTGGTAAACACACTAAAGACAACTTGTGATTAAAAGTAAGAAATGATACATGTATGTATGACAGTACCGAGCAATGTCTCTACATCAGGGACATCTCCAAGGTCCTGCAGCAGCTCATGCAGCAAGTCATTGTGGTCAGGGGAGATGGCCTCCAGATGTTCTAAAAGCAGCTGAACAAATACAGATGTGATTAGTCCTGTATATCTAAATAAATAATATTTATTGCATAACTCATCACAGAAAAATATTACTTAATGAATGAACCTTGTTAAATGTATCCATGGAGAAACAATGCAACACATTTATGAGAGTTGGAAATGTATACAAGTTAAACCTCTACCTTCTACGACTAAATGTTGAAAAATTCAATACCTTACCCATTTTTTTTTTTTTTTTTTTTATATATATACACATACACATACACACATACACACAAGAAATGAAGTGGCTGTGTGAGAAACAAGTGATGTAGAAGAACAATACATGCTAACAACAGGAGGCAACACGGAGCCACAATCGCTGGGATTTTAGCAGTATGGGAAATGTCGATCAACTGGGTGCTGAAATGATATTTCAAGGCTTGTTGTATTTTGACTTTTCTGATTGGCATGAGCTGTTGCTTTAACAACAACAAACTTACTAAGACTTAGAAACATGTTGTGAATATTTAAACATTCAACTATTTGATCCAAATTCTTAATTTTCTCAAAATGTGGTATGGAGAGAGAAAAGAGTGAATTCCTAGTAGTACTGCTGTTATTAGCAGTAGTAACACTAGTAATGGTAGTGGTAGCAATACTAATGTATGTAATACCAGTACTCGGTACTAGCACAAGGAATATAATCACTAAAACAGCCAGATGAAAATGATACTGTACAGTGACTGTACAAACATGACACTGACTGACAGAAAGAATGAATCTTTTAAAATGATGATGAATCATAAGCCAGTGCACGTACGCACTTTATAACACGGCATGTTTGGTAAGTTCATATCTGGTCTAAAGGACGTTAGAGTCATTTTGCTTGGGTTTACCGAGTGGGTATTGATGACCTCATCTATTGAGATGTAGATGATAGGCTTGCTTAAAGTCACCATGTCTGAGTATTCATCAATATTAAACTTCTCCTCAGGTTCAGGTACATCACATGCCGACTGGAAGAATACCCTGAAAGAAGAGGAATAGCAGCAGTTAGTGGTTATAAGTCTCAATTATTTCGGACATATTAATCTCTCCTTTCTTACCTAAACTTCTCATACGTCTGAGATATGTAGTTGTTCATTGAAGTCATATGTGCATTCTCGCCCTCAAACAGCTTATTGGCGGCAGCGTGCTGCAGCATCTTGGCCACAGATCCCAGGTTACGCCGCTGGTCTACGTGGAGCTGCCCTCCTGCCGACATGTCGATGATGTCGAAGCCATCCGGGGCCACGATGGCTGGGTTCATGTAGCGGTAGTAAAGCAGGTTTCCTACAATCTGTCATGAAAAGAAGAGAAGGCATCATTCACACCTTTTGCTCAATGAAATTGCACTCACCTCAACATGCTCACAATAATCAAGGATTCAGAGAGGACTGTGTGGACAGAAATCTAACAAACTG